TCTTTCACTCATTTTTGTCAAGAAAGTGTTGAAAACCACTCTTGCTTTGTTTGGTTTGCAATATATTGTGAAAATCTCTTGGTACCTTTGATTTGTGTGCTATTGTGTAGGAATTAGGCATAAAACAATTGAAAAGTAAGAAACAAGAAATGGGCAAAGGAACCAAGAAAGAAAGCAAACAAACAGCAAGCTCGCTAGGTGAAGATGCAGCGAGGGAGTAGCGAGCACTCGCTAGGCGAAGGCGCAGCGAGTCTCCAGCGAACACTTCCAGTGGCCAAAATGCTGTCACGCTCGCTAGGCGAGCAGATAGCGAAGAGCTAGCGAATAAAACCATTCTTGCTCGCTAGGCGAGCAGGTAGCGAACGCTCCCAGAATTGGACAGAACCAAACGTTCGCTAGGCAAAATCAGAGCGAAGGCTTCGCTAGCTGTTCGCTAGGCGAACATGACAGATCCTGAATGTGTATTTAAGTGTTTTTCTTGCTTTTTTAGGTCATAACTTGATTTTGTAACATTAGATACATCAGAACTTATCTCTCTTCATTTCTTCTAGAGAGAGAAACACAAAACCCTAAGAGGGAGGAGGTAAGATCTTTGATCTCTTGTTGGGGTTTGGATGTAATCTTTTGATACCTTATGTATTTCAGCTAATTTATGTTTGTGAACTAGTTTTGGTTCTCTATGGATTGATTATATTTGATTATGTATTTGTGGGTCTTGACAAAACCTTTTCACATCTTTGATCTCATATTTTCTTCTATCAATGAACAAACTTTTGACATGGTTTTGATGTTGATATTCATTGTATCTTCTATGGTGTTGTGTTGATTAAGTAGCATGGGTAGCATGGGTAGGATCAATATGATATTATGTGGGTATGTGATAATAGTGATGAAGAACGATGTTTTTAACCATTTGGCAAACTAGATGAATACATGTAAAAAAGGGTTAAGCGTGTGTAAGTATTTTGATCATTGTGTTATATGCAAAACAATTGTTTATTCAATATAGGTGTCGTATTTGTTTACCGGTTTATATTTGATTTGAATAGTGATAGAGATATACTTTTCAGATCTGGATCTAGGACGATTACCTGTTAGGTCCTAAATGCTAGAGATAGGTTTAGGCTTAGCATTTGCGTGAGTATCAGTTCGTAATGCTCTGTGTTGTGTTTTTGTTGGATGGGAGATCACCAATGAGACAACATGGTTGTTCTCTCGACGCTGCATTAGAGATAAGCTTTGTCGTGGGTGATACGTAAGGGTATTAGACGAATGATTGCGTTGTGTTTAATTTGATCAGAAGAATGCATATGTTATCAATTGATGAAATCCAATCCCAACAAGACTCCGTTTATATTTCAGTTTTTACTTTATATTTTCGTCTTTATATTTTCGGTTTTTATCCATGGTTCTTTGAACCTTTTAAACCAAACCTTTTGAAAACAAGCTTAGAAATATGGAAATCGTTGAACGATGTTCATATCGCACTAATCCCTGTGGAGACGATAAAACTGGGTACTTAATATTTTTTGCTTGCTGCTTTACCGCACCAACAGGTGTTGAATAGTCTAAATGGCATTTGTTGGTATGCAAATGTTCCATATGGACAAGTAAAGGTTGTTTTCTCTTGATCATCGGGGTGAATAGGAATTTGGAAAAATCCCGAATATCCATCTTGGTAGAAAAGAATGTCTTGCTAGACGTTAAAGCATTTGGTCTATGAATGGAAGCGGGAAACGATCTTTCCTAGTTACTTTGTTTAGTTTTCTATAATCAATACACATACACCAACTATTTTTTATACACTTAGCTATTTGTTCTCCTTTTTTGTTTTCTACGATTGTGACACGTTCCTTTTTAGGAACCACATGTACATGGCTCACCCATTTACTATCATAGATTTGGTATATTATTCCAGACTCTAATAACTTTAACACTTCCCTTTTCATAATATTACTCATTATAGGATTTATCCTTCATTGATGTTCTCTGAAGGGTTTAGAGTCTTCCTCCAGTATAATCCGGTGCATACACACGGAAGGACTTATCCCTTTGATATCGGAAATGTTATAGCCTAGAGATGAGGGATATTTTCTCAAAACATATAAGATTTGATTGGTTTCTTTACTATCTAAGGTGGCACTGACGATAACTAGATGATTTAGTTCTTCGTCCAGGAACTCGTATCTCAGATTCTTAGGTAGTTCCTTAAGTTCTATTGATGGTTTCTTAGGACAAGGCATATGATCTAGGGTAAGTGCCAAGCATTCGTAAAGGATGTCATATATATAAGGCTCAGTTTTAAATCCTTCGTCTTCCTTTATAGGAGTTGAAGGTAATTTAATCATTTCAACTTTATCTACTTGGTCTAATTCTCTCATGCATTCATCTATGATATTGATAGTGTAACATTAGTCATCTATGGCTGGTGCCATCTGGAATTTGGATAATATGAATTCTACTTTTTCATCACCTACTTCAAATGTCATTTTTCCTCTCTTGACATTTATTATAGCTCGGTTGTCGATAAAAAGGGTCTACCTATATAGCACTGTTGGATTTCAAGGTGTCGGCCAATTGGATAAAAACTTTCAGGTGTTAGTTCAAGTTCTCCGTAGGAAGACCTGCGAATTGGATCTATTGCACTAATTGTAACAGAGAAGATTTTAATTCAAAGTTATTAGCTGGTATAGTTGGGTTTACTATACTAGAGTGGGATTCTTCTTTAGATGGTAAAGTGAAATCCTTAAGCATTTTCTCGCTCTGATCTTCTGCCATTGCTATTTTAAGTCTTTAGAGAAAAAGACGAGCTCGGGCGTAATGTTCAGATTCTTCTATTAGATCAACTAGGTTTCCGGTGCTGCAAGTTCTTCACATTGACCGGCTAAAAGGGTGCTTTAGTCTAGACGGTGTAACAACAAGGTACGAAATTTGACGAACTTGGTCCTCGACAACGGCGCCAAAAACTTGATGTGTGCTATTTGTAAGTAGATGAAGTACGTCAGAGTAATATAAAAGATTATCGATCCTATAGAGAATAATGTCAATCTATCGATTACTATCGTTATGGTGTTTATCTAAAGCTAATGAAAATAGAGAGTATTTCGCGCAGAGAAAATAAAAATTAAGGAATGAATTTAAATTCAAAATAAAGGTATACCGGAATGTAATTCCCATCGATCAAATAGTACTTCTATCATCTAAGTAGTAATACTTATGGGGAAATATTTTCTTCCTTGAAAAAGAGTTAATTAAAAAGGAACCATCGCGTTAGCATAATCGGAGTCGGACCTGATCTTTAATCTATACCAGCCGCTCACACTAAACAAGTTGTATCTTGTGTTAAAGTGAAGAAGTTCTTCTTTATATAACTACCTCTAGGAATCAGTTAAAAGGTGTCTTTGATTGGAAACTTTCAATATCAAAGGGTTTCCGGCATATGCTCGGCCATTCGGATCCTAAATCTATAAACGTGTCCGAGAATAATTTAAAATCACTTTCTAATAATATCAAATTTTCCTAATTAATTAATAAAGCGCTTTCGCTGTTTTTACCAATTAAAAACTAACCAACTCTTATCTAAAGTGTCAGACGATTTTCGATCTTACCCGACATAGTCACAATTATTACGTAAACAGAAACATGGTCCCGTTTACATAATGGCCGATCAATTTAAGTTCAAAAAAGTTGCATTAAAATCCAAAACAACCCTTGAAGTCTTTCTACAAATACAACATGTGGAGTACCATCGAAACAACAACCCTCACATCCCAGCACAACAGATTTAGGTGGACATGACGGTGCTAAACATAATAAATAATTTGCTTGCAGAGTAAATCATTTAGGAGAATAAAAAAATGTGCGTGATTGGTTTTCGAACGAACGAAAGTGTCACCCTTAGGTTCAGTTCAGAAAACGAATCTTGGAAATAAAAGCGATATGTAAATCGTGCGGGAAAATAAGTGTGTGATTGGTTTTCAGAAGAACAAAAGTGTCACACTTGAGTTTACCTTTAGAAAAAGAATCTTGGAAATAAAAGTGATATGTAAATCGTGCGGGAAAATAAATGCATGATTGGCTTTCAGAAGAACAAAAGTGGCACGCTTGAGTTCACTCTTAGAAAACGAATCTTGGAAATAAAAGACAATAAATAAATCGTACGATAAAGGCGTGATCGGTTTCCAAGGGTAAGAACCAAAGTGTCACTCTTAGAAACAGATCTCTAAAATAAAAAGCGATAAATAAATCGTTCGAAAATTAAACAAATTAAAGCAAGGCGGAAAGTAAATAATGAAAGTACGAGTAAAATAAAATCTACTCCAAATCGGAGACTTGAATCTGGTATAATGCTGGAAAGTAAAATGACGTCAAGATTAAAGTTCCTATGATATGATGCTCAAACCTTAGCTATAACAATGGTGCGATAACCCTTCGATGTGACGGTTTATCGCTTTAACTCTGAATATATGCCTATGCTGAGAACTAAGACTGGATTCCTAAAACTAAAGATTTAGGTCTTATTTATAGTGAAAAAATACCTTGGAAGTTACGTAGCTTATTCAGAAATCATGTGGAGGAAAAATCTTTGGTCATGGCATCATGCTCAAGTCGTCCTTGACCGGACCACCCAATACACAGATGGCGCCCGCCATCTAGACATGGCGCCCGCCATGTGTACAAATGGTGGTGGACATGGTCAAGTGATGGTTAGAACGTGGGAGAAACCTTACACGTCATGGCTACCCTTATGGCCAATGCCATGTGGAACACCGTGTGTGTAATTTTCGCCCTAAAACTCTATTTTCTACTCTTTTCGCTCCATTTCTTTGTGGGAGACTCTTATTAGGAAATGTACCTGAAAACAAGATAAAACACAAGTATAGTGCAAGAAATAACAATTAAACAACAATAAACATGTGCAATCTGAGCCAAATATGCAGTGTGTTTTAGTGTTATCAGATTTGATGGAGAGAAGTCGGCGGAATCATGATACATAATCAATGACGGAGTTTATTGAAGCTCAAAATGAATATAATAAGTTTCTCATTAAGGAGGATACATATTGGAAACAACGTGCGAAGATGCACTGGTTAGGCGACGAAGATTTTAATACCAAGTTTTTTCATATGTCGACCACAGTTCGTAAGGAATTCTCAAAAATCACCATGTTGCAGCAGGATGAAGGGATAGAGGTGACATACCAGGTTGGTATATGCGATATTGAGAGAAGTTACTTCGAGGAGCTTTTTGTTGTTAAAGCTAGTAATCAAGAAGCAGTGCTCTCTCTTATCCAGCCAGTAATAACAGAGGAAGTTAGTAATATGCTGATAACCTCTCTATTCATGGAGGAATTATATAATGCCTTAAGGGAAATGCATCCTAATAAATCTTTGAGTTTGGACGGTTTAAATCTTGCGTTCTATCAAAAAATTTAGGACTTGTATGGTAGAGATATTTTTGAGGCAGCCAAGAGTTAGTAGGATAAAGGATTCTTCACATCGTTGCTTAATGATACGAATGTTTATTTGATTCCTAAGATTACCAACCCTCGTGATATGAAGGATTTCCGCCCTATATCCTTATGTAATGTGATCTATAAACTTGTGTCTAAAGTGCTTGCTAATAGATTGAAAATGACGTTGGATATATGTGTATCAGAGGAATAATTGGCATTTATTGAGGGTCTTTATATCCTTGATAATGCGATGATTGCTATAGAGTTCATCCATGCTCTTAAGAGAAATGCTAAACGTAGGAAGGCTCATTTGGCTCTTAAGGTGGGCATAATTAAGGTGTGCGATATATTGGATTAGGGTTTTCTCTGTGGTATGATTTATAGAATGGGCTTTGCTAAAAGATGGATTCACTGCATGATGATGTGTGTCTCCCTGGTGCATTATATCGTTCTTGTTAATTTGAATAAATTTAGACCGATTGAACCAGGGTGTGGATTAAGACAAGGGGACCCACTGTCCCTTACCTATTTATGTTGGTGTTAGAAGCCCTTACGACTCTTATTAGGGGAGCAATGGCTAGAGGTGATATCCATGGAATCCAAATTTGTAGAGGGGCACCCACCGTGCCCCGCCTTCTTTTTGCTGACGACTGCTTTTTATTTTGCAGGGCTAACCTCACCAAAGTTAGACATCTTATGAAGTTGCTCGGTACTTATGTTGAGGCCTCGAGGTGGAAGATTAATTTGAATAAATCTGAAGTGTTTTTTAGCAGAAACATAAGTAACTCGACCAAGGAAGATCTTGTCAGCATTATGGGATTTCGTCATGTGTTGGGAACTTGAAAGTATCTTGGTTTGCCCTCTATGATAGGTAGAAGTAAGAAGTCAACCTTCTTTTATATTAAGGATCGCATTTGGAACAAAATTAATTCCTGGAAAGGTAGAGCTTTATTAAAAGCATGGAAGGAAGTTATGATAAAATCGGTGCTCCAAGCTATATTATCCTATGTTATAAGCTTGTTTATCCTCCCAGATGCAGTTTGTAATGATATTGAGAAGTTGTTGAATTCCTTTTGGTGGGGGGGGGGGGTGAGGGAGCAATAATAAGGGTATCCACGGATGGCCTGGGATAAGCTGGCTTGTCCCAAGAAGGAAGGACAATTGGGTTTTAGATATTTTAAAGCTTTCAACATGTCAATGGTTGCTAAACAAGGGCGGAACTGTCATACCCCAAATTTGTCCTACCTTTTTCAAATTTTTCATTCGCCCGACTTTATTTTTTAATTTGCATTGCTTGTACAACTTAACGTATTTTTTTTTACCTTTTTACCCAATAAATTTGTGACATGTGACATTTATTTTATTTTATTTTTATTTTGTTATTATTTTTATTTATTTAGAAATATTTTAAATAGAAATAAATTTTTATTTTAGTTAGAATAGTTTTTTATTTATTTATTTATTAACTTGTTAAAAATAGTTTATTTTTTAGATTATAGATTTCATTAGATTTAAATAGTTTTTAGATATTGATATTATTTTAGAGTTTAATAGAGTTTATTTCTTTAATTAGTATAATTGTTAGAAATAATTTATTTTTAAATATAGACTTTTTAATTATTTGTTTATAAAATAGTTATTTTATTTTAAAATCTAATTTTTAATAGGAGTATTTTTTTAGTTTTGATTATTAGTTTTGTTTTAATTAGGTGTAATTAAGTTAGCATTAATCACTATTTAATTATTATTATCAGCATTTTAGTCAAATTAACCAAATTAATTAGTTTGTGCCATGTGTCAAGTTTCGGTGGTATATAACCACTATTCATCATCCCTTTCAGAGAGAGCCAACCCTAGACGTCAACCCTAACCAGCCGTCACTCATCACCTTCAATCACCTTCTTCATTTTCGTTCACCATTTTTGAACATTCTTCAAAAACTCAGATTCTTCAACCAACAAGCTTCGAAAACCATACGAAGCCGCCACCGTTTCCATTCTCGACGGCTCACTTTCGCCCCGACATCTCCCTCAACTCCGTTTTTCTCTGAACTTCCATTAACAACCTTCGAAGCTCACCTTCTTTTACCCAAAATCACGAACTCGAAATTCCATCCAACAACACCATTTCCTCAAATCTTCCGTCAAATCACCAACATCACCTTCCATCTTCGGAAATACCATGGAAACCCAAACAAAGCTTCGAACTTCAACCATCTAGAACCTCTTCACTCTTCTCCCTCACTGAAAGCCCAGCTCGTTCACCCTTAGCTGTCCGTTCTAACCATCAATCACCACCATTGATAGAGCTATAATAGGTTTGTGAAGCTCCGCTCATTGTAATGTCCGAAATGTTCACAACAACAACGTTCTGTTCGAAGCGACCTGTGATTCCCCTTCAACAAAGAGCTTAAGTCACAAGTCTTCAACAACTTCATCATCGGCAACAAGCTCTATTCGCTGTTTAGCTTCATCTCAGCGTTCGCCGCGTGGTGGTGTGGGTTGAGTGCGATTTCAATAGCGGTCAAGATGCTCTGAAGAAGCCGAATCGATGAACGATGTGATGCTACATTACTGTTGTGCTCGATTCATGTCAACTACACAATTCTGAGAGTCGTTGTTTCCGCAAGAGAGCAACGACACGGTTTCGACTTCATAACAATGATTCCAACAACATTGTTTCATCCTCACACAGACTGTTAACAGCTCGTTCTGTTCAATGACGCAAAACGGTTCATCATCGCATTTCACGATTTGATTTTGTTGCTGTTATTATTGGCTTATACTTCAACCACAAAGCTAGTGTTTGGAGGGTTGTCTAAGGAGGATGCATTTCTGATTCATTTCAAACTAACCACGGTTCGGCTCCAACGTCATGCGTCAACGTCATACGTGAATCAAAACATATTGATTTCGTATATCCTCTCCTTCAAGTTAAACAGGTCATGAACCATTGCTGTTATGCTTGAGTCTCACACCGCGCGCAATAGTAACAGTCTTACCAAGCTGCCATATTTGTAAATGGTTGCACATTGAGGTTCGAGAACCCAAGACGGAGCCAAACTCGCAGAAAACAGCATAGCAGTAACATCTTAGCAAGATCAAACATAAACTGATCTAACCAACACAGCCTGACTCATCAACGTCACGATTCACCATCCTCATCCCATCGACCCTCTGCTCTTTCACTAGTACCATAACAACGTTTCACAATATCACTCGACATCGCCAAGAAGCTCCTTGTTTCAGAGACGCAGCTATGACCCTCGAGATTCAACGATAAATCCAGCAACAAACACAACTTTGATTTGAGACAACAACTCTTAATATTGGGTAACAGTTTCGATCCAAATATATCTTGATTCCTACTAGACTTGTTTTTGTTTATCATTTACATTCCTACAAATTTTTCTGGACCGTTTTGATGGTGTGATATGGTCGCAATGATAGGCGCATAGTACTGCTGTAGTTCATTTTTGCGGCTGTATGCATATGAATGTTGTTCTGGTTTTTTTTCCAAGCTGGTTTAAATGTTAATGTTAATGGCTTTGGATAGGGTTATCTTTATGTATCTTAGTTCTGTTTGTGTTAGCATCGTGATACGCCGCTAGCTTACGTTTGTTGTCCTGCCCATGTCGTGTTTGCCTCGATATTGTTTTGCTTACTGTTTTACTTTAATTTTTCGGTTTCGATTGCGTAAGAATCTCGATGGCATAAGGATGTTGGATTGATTTTGTTTATGTGCATTATATTAAAAGTTTTGTTCATTTGAGATTCCATATCACGGTAATGACATCCGGTTTTCATGTTATATTATGTGGATTATTTGCTTCAGAGTACAAATCTGTTTCGATTCGGTTGATAATTTGAGGATTGTTGTCGCATATGTTCGTGAAAATTAGTGTTCGATGTTGTTGTTATACTGCATTTTGATTCAGCTGAAATTTTGGTGCAAATTATAATTGTGCTTTGTGTTTGAATTGTTGCGTTTGCGATTGGATAACGTCGGCAACATAGTGGTTTTTTTATTGTAATTATGTTTGACTGTGTATTTACTCCCTTTCCGATTCAATCACACTGTTCTGTCTTGATTACTTGCTTCCGATTACGCATTTGATTCAAATAAGCGGTTTTGTGAACATTGAAATAAGTTGTGGTCGATCAATACGTGTTTTTGCCGCTACTTAACTTCATTTTTGAACTATTGTGGATGTTTGTTTATATTTTGAATTGGTAGAAGTTCCTGATAAATACATGATAATTGTTGTTTCTTGTTGGAAGTTTTGTGTTGAAAATTAATGTGTGATGTTAAAAAACCAATGGCCATGGTTTAAAAAAAATTTCATATCATATGGAAAGGCATTACAATGCCCTCAGGATATTGCGGTCGCTATTATTTGAACCTTGTTTTCCTTGTCGGTTTTGAAAATCAGGAAGGGATGGTGCGCAATGCATCTCTTTTTCTTTCTGTTAATTTCCTTTTCCTTACTTTTACTTTGGGTCCAATTGTTGACATGGTATAAATCTTTATACACTTTACCACATTCCATCTGATCAATTTAGTTTTTTTAATTATTAAATTGAGTATGAAGTGTTTTATTTGGTTAAAATTTATTTTATCAAGTGTTTTATATCTATTTATTTATTTATTTATCTATTTATTTTATTTGGTTAAAATTTATTTTATCAAGTGTTTTATATCTATTTATTTATTTATTTATCTATTTATTTTATTTGGTTAAAATTTATTTTATTTGTTATTATATTGTACACGTTAAAACGCAAATTTAAGTCTCGATTCATATCGAGCATTTTCTCAAATCAAATTGAAAACACTTAATAACACAATTTCAATAAAAGATGAAAAAGGGAGAGTTCAAAGTCTTTGGTTCTCTCTCCCAATTGTTTGGGTCCGAGAAGTCTTTCTTAAGCTCGAACAATTGTCTTCTAAAACCATAAACAAATTCAAATATATTTTCTT